AGAGAGAGAGAGAGAGAGAGAGAGATATTATAATAAATGAACGTAAATCGGATTTCATTACATAGCAAAGAAGAAAAATTAATACAAGAGGAGTTGAGATTATCTTACACTGCAAAAAGTAGCCATTGTTAACGGAAAAATCTTTCCTGCAGTGATACAAAAAGGATATTGAGCTCGCATCATTAACAAAATAAGACTTCTCGCCTTCCTCGATTCCAATTTGTACCATTCAAGATCGCACATTGTACGATATACTGCATTGCACTTAATGAGTACATATAATATATAAGAAAATATATTTATGCTCTCATTTCAGTGAGAAATACTATTAGTAACGGTTAATTGAGATTAAATAACATTTTATTTCTTGTAAAAGAAGTTAGGAACAGAAATGTCATACAAATCGAATAAATTTGCATTTTTGTTAATGTTCACTCAGAAACAGTCATTCAATATGCATAAATGCATCAAATTTTTAATAAATAGTTTTGCCTAGTAATATGACATTAAATTTCTAACAAATATAATTGTAACAATATAACAAAAAAATTTTTTAGATAAACTAACATATGCAAATTATATTTGCTCCAAAGTACAAAACAAATTTATTACAACACTGTTGATATACATTATAAGTATAATCAACTTATTTTATGTATTACGAGAGCTGTTCGGAAAATAATGCAATATATATTTTCTCGGCCAATAATAAAGATAGAGAAATGAAATTTTACATAATACAAACCTGAAGTTATTTGCGTTTTTATGTAAAATTACACGTCATTCTGACGGATGGAGCATGGAGCAGCTGTAATAATTTTTTAATGGCGTTTGCGAATAATTCATGTTACAAATGGTTACAAACAGCAAACTATAATTGAATTTTTGATTGTGGAGAAATAACTGTGTTGAACATTTACAAACATTTGTTTGATGTAACACACCCTATAGCTCATTGTTTGTAACGCGAGTTGTTCGAAGATATTACTAAAAAAATTAGTACAGCTGCTTCATCTGTCCGAATGCTGTGTAATTTTTCATAAACGTATGACAAACTTGAAGTTTATAGCATATAAAATTTCACTTTTTTGTCTTAATTATTGGCTGAAAAAAAATGTGGTTCATTACTTTCTGAACAATCCTTATATAACGTATTTACTTGCTATAAGTATAACTTACTTGCTCCGTTACAAGTTCTCCTGCTCCACAATAAAGAAGAGTATTCATCAACAAGATAATAAGAATAAATATTGAGAAATATCCTTGTCCGATAATAGTTTTATCCATTTTTCCGTTAGTAAATGTCTAAGACAAATTATAAGAAAGTAAAGAAGCGTATACATGCTATGAAATATTTTTTTACTGAATCTTACAATAGTAAATAAAAATCCGCTTAGGCAAGATACAACACCAAAATGAAGTATCATTACTAACATCATTGAACAGTACGTTTTTTCGATATTGTCAGCAAATCTACAAAGAATAAAATTATTTAAAAGGATTATCACACTGAATCAATGAAACAATATATTTCAGATATGTATATATATATATGTACATATACATATATTATATTTAATATATATATATTATATATATTAATATATTCAGAAACACACATATCTAAACATAAAATGCATAAATTATTGTTTATTAAAAATATATTATTTGCTAAATTCCTAATTAAGTTTTCTTAAAAAAAATTGTATAGATACACTTTAATATAATCGTTACATTACATGTTAAAAAAGATACTTTTGACAAACAAGATGAATGCACATAGAAGTAGAAGTAAGCAGTAAGCAGTAAGACGTAAGGCCGCCATCTTTCATATGTATAGATATACTGGCAATGTTAATTGCCTACTTCGTACGTATTACTGTTTCCTGCTTACTGCTTGCTGCTTACTTCTACTTCTATGTGCGTTCACCTTTACAACTGTAAATGTGTCAACGAATAAAGCATAATAGAGTGTACAATGAATATGATAACTGAATTGGAATATAAACAAAAAAAAATACAGTTGTATTATATTTAGTTCCACACACATTAAAGATTAATGTTTTTCGTTATAATAAAGATAACTGTAAATAAAAAATTTTAACATTCAAAGTATAAAATGTATGAGAAAAAAGATATTTTTAATAACATTTCTAAATCAATTTTGTTCTATTGTTATCATAAAAATTCATACCTGATAAGACGTAAATGGGTCTCTACCATATTGTTCAAAATTTTATTAAAATTTTTGCATAAGATCAAATTAATTAATCGACATCTAAAATTTTCTAACTGACCACAAATGTGAAGAATCGTTAGTATTAGAAAAATATCTACAGACATGTAAATGTTAGTTGATAACAAAATCGTTACGATATGAATGAAAAATGTCAACTCAAATTGCGGACTTTTATCTGTATCATAGAAGTGATATGTTTCCAGCGGTAGCATTTTGCGTCTATCCGTGGAATTCGTTGCATATGTTACTTGAATGTCAAAAGAAGGAAGAACAATAACTGTGAGAAACCCTATTGTTATGAAAATATATCCAATCATCATAATTAATCGCGCTGTTTGTGCACGTTTTATCATCACATCTCTTTCTCCATCCAGCTTGAATGCCACCCAATCTTCTGCCATCATATTTACGATTGAAAAGAGAACTTGAAAATACAAATAACTATAGATAAAACGTAAGCATTGTTAAAAGCATTAAAATATTGAACTATTTAGATATATATTATTATTAGATATATGTTATTTGTGAACTAAGAATCGCACCAAAGAAAGAATTATGCACATTTTAGAATTTATTTCCACGTTGCTATATAGGAGTAAATTATATATGTATATAATTTCTGATTTCTTATTGTGTGTACTCCACAATATATTTGTAACTATAATTATTTGTCACAAGATGATTTAACAAGGCAATGAAATATAGTGCTGAATATTTTATTTGATATCATTCTGAACATACCTTTTCGTTTTCGTAGTAGGATAACGTATTTCACTGATGCTGTTATTTCGGGTAATACTGTTTGTAAATTGTTTATTACAAGTACCATATTACCCCAAACTTCTATAACTGCACATATCATCGGAACATTAGAAACAAATATTAATAAAATGAAAATAATGCCGACCCATATTTCGGACCACAAACTTTTCTTAGTACATTCGTTGGAATTAGGCCATAATCCCACCATTTCGAAACCTAAACGATGTAGATTAACTGCCCATATGAAATCTAATAAATTTTTATATGATATAAATAATTTTGATAAAATAATTGCAAATTAATATATAAATTATTAAAGGATTATACGAAAGTTAAAATTAATATTAAATGTTAAAATAATATAATATCTCATGAATGGATTTACAATGCGAAATTATATAATACAAACTTATTTACTAGACACGCATATTAAACACGAATAAACGGAAAATATGAAATTAGTACCTCTGTATCCTGATGATTTTGTAATGTCCATGTCGAAAACTAGAACGTAAAGAATATCTAGTTCCTTCCACGACGTGATGTAAAATGATTATCACGCATATCCTCGGTGCAAAAACTCGATAGTCTTGTTAAATGCGGCTTACGCGGCATTAAATATTGCTATCCCAATTATAATACTACTGATATCGTAAGAAAGAATTTCATAAATGTTCATGTTATAAAAATCGTTTATGTCTGATCTAAGAAAATAAGAGGTACAAAATATTACATCGCATCATAAGTTCGCCGTACTAGCTTGAAAAACTTTTTCCATGTTTTATGTCGCTCCATTGTGTATGCGTTTATTACAATGCGAGAAATAACGCTGTTGCATCTTTAATGCGACTTCCTATACCAGTCACAAAAGTTGTATTACAAAAAGAATTGTACAAAATTGCATATTATACGTATCTTTTAAATGTCTTTTTCAAAGACACATCCATCGTTGCAGTAAACGTAAGTGAATGTAATATTATCTCTAGACTATAAATAATTTATAATTCGTACTTCGAAGTCGTCTACGTATTTCCAATGATGAAATTTCGCTATCTTATAATTGCAAGTTTATAACGGTATGGTAGCTTTTAAAAATGGCAATATTCTCGCAATAAGATAACCAATGGCCTGATGAAAATAAAAATCTGAATGTAAGGCGAATGTAATTCATAAACGCTTCTTCTGCGTTTTGTTGTTTTAATTTTTGCCATCTAGAAGTTTCGTTTACGCTTCTGTTACTCTCCCATTACATTCGATTTACGCTCCGATTTTTATTTTCGTCAGGGTGTGTTTTAGTATGTTTCTGTTCATTGAAGATAAAGTGGCAGGGACCGATTCTTTTTTAAAAAAAGAATTGCAGTAAAATGTAAAACTCACATATCAACATAAGTACGTACATTTATCTTATCATGTTAATTTGATGAGATTATACCAGAATTAACACCAAAAATTATCATTAAGTAATATTTGTAATTTAAATTAATGTAATTATAAAACAAACATTAAATTTTGTGTTATAATTTTATGCAGATTTCTCATTTTTCTTTAAACATAATGCTTTAAAAATCAAAATATTCATACTATTTATGTGCAATCAAAATATTTGTCACATTACAAAATGCTAAATAACATATATTTTATAATAAACAACAATTAAAGGCAAAATTTAATTTTATTTTATAAATACAATAACAATAAATTCTACATATTTTCTAGGTAAAAATTTCTCTATTTGTAACTACACAATATTGTAATCATGAATGTATCTATTTTTATGCTCATGAAGCATGTTGAATGTTAATATATTATCTTCAATCAAATTTTGTCAATAGAAACGATATGTAACCAATCGATGATTTTAATATCTAAAATTAGTTATTATTGTTATTTCTTGATATTTGAGATATATGTTCAAGCGATTTGAATAAAACACTCTTGCAAACCAACATATAAATTATTAAATGTTTATACGGAACAAAAGTTAACGATAATGAAATATCTCAAAGATATATTTACAATACAAAATCATACAAATTTATTTGCTATACATATTAAATACAGATAATACTATAGCACATGAAATTAGTACTCTGTATCCTCGAGATTTTGTAATGTCCATATCGAAAACTATAACATGAAGAAAGTCTTGGTTCTTCAACGGTATGATACAGAATGATCACGCATGCTCTTCATATAAATGCGGATTGCATGGCACTAAATATTAAGAATGATATCCGTAATTATAGCTACTAATATTGCCAGAGAATTTTATAAACGTTTTAATTACAAAAAGCATTTATGTCTGGCCTAATAAAATATGAAACAAAAAGAATAGTACATTACGATACAAGTGCGCAAAGTAGGTGATTCCCGCACGAGCCGAGTTTGTCGCCCGAGCGAAGCGAGGGCGACAAAAGAGCGAGTGTGGGTACACCTACGCAGCGCACGAGTATCGTATACTATTTTTCCTATTAAGTTGCGCAAAGTTTGACATCTTTGTGGGCAGGCGCTAGGGCGGTGCGAACAGAATCAGGGGGCAGGATGGGGGGTTCGGGGGGCGGAGCCCCCCGATTTAAATAAAGTGAAACTTCATTAGTATTACATTCAAAAAGTATAAATATTTTACATTTATTTGTTATTGTTATTAATATTAATTGTAACTTGACAATTTACAAAATGAAAAGGAACATTTTTTTTTACATTTCCTGCTTCTTCTATAACTATAGTTATATTTGTATTTCCCACTGATTCATTATTTGTTTGGTTTTCTTTGTTATTTTCGACAGATAGCTCTGGAGTTTCAGGAATTATTATTACTTGATCTTTGTGATAGTGTGCACAATTTTTTTCTGAAGGATTTGGATACAATGTACCATCAAAATTGCGTATTGCTTCATTTTCTGTTACAGACCTTTTCAAGCGTTTTGGATTTTTGGATGTTGAAGGTATTGCATTTTCAATGCAATGACCAATTGCTTTTTTATTCATAATAGAATCTTCTATGTATCCTTCGGCGACTGCATTCGATTTCCACCCGCCGTGTCTTTTCAAAGTAGTTATATCTGCTCCTGCATCGACTAATATTGTAGCAGATGATCTTTGGAAAGTATGACCGGTGTAGGAGTTAGGATTTTCTAATTTAAGATATTTTGCAATTTCTTAAAGTACAAGTACGTCGTCGCACCGTCCACGGCGCCACCGAACGCGCATGCTCGCGCCCCAAGTCCCAACAGATGATCCACAAGCACCTTAACAGGCTACTTTGCGCACGGAAATGCGTGCGTAAAGTTCGAACTTTGCGCACGGTAATAGGAAAACAATATTTCATTACATCGTAAGTTCGCTTGAAAAGTTTTTTTCATATTGCGTATCGCTTCATTATGCGTCTATTGCGAAACGAGAAATAACACTTTTGCATTTTTAATATGACTTTCTACAGCCACTAAAATTCTACTAAAGAAAAGAAATAATATGAAATTGTGCATTATGTGTATCTTCAAATGTCTTTTTCGAGGACATATCGATTGTTACATGAAACGTGAGGGATTGTAATATTATTTAGACTATAAGTATATTATAATTCATACTTCACAAATGTATTTCTAGTGATGACATTTCGGTGCCTCAAACTGTAATTTTATTACGTATGTCGTTGCTAGATCAATGATCTAGCAACATTCTTGCAATGAGATAACCAATTTGTTCTGACATTTTTCTGTTCACCGAAGGTAAGATAGCCGATCAATTCTTTTCTTAGAATTGAAGTAAGTGATAATAAAATTGACATGGATGCACATAGTTACATTCATCTACTACGTTGATTTGATAAAACACGAATAGCACTAAAAATTGATGAAACATTATCATTATACATAATCTAAAAACAAGTATTAAAAATATTATTGATTATCAATACACATAATCTAATTAAAAAACAAGCATTAAAGAGAATTTTATTTTATAATTTTGTATTACAAGTTCCTGGCATTATTTATAATAAACCACAATTATTTAATAGACATAACATAATTTTATTTTTTAAATATGATAACAATAAATTTCTAGGTATTTTCTAGGTAGAAAATTCTTCACTTGTAACTGTAATCACGAATCTATTTTTACACTTATGTAGTATGTTGAATATTAATATATCATCTTCAGCCATGTTTTGTCAATAGGACTGATATGTAGCCGAGCGATGATTTTAATATCTAAAATTAATTATTATTGTTATTTCCTGACATCTAAATATGCACGCTGCCAATATCGACTTTGTGTACGGGTATATGTAAAAATCAAGGTACTAATTAACTGTAATGATTTTAATTTGTATAATTAATTATTATAAATTTGTATTGTTACTTTTTTTTAATTTGATCTTATAAATGTGTGATGAATTATTAATTGAATTGTTATTTAATTTATGTTATAATAACATTTGCAATTATAATTTATAATCAGGTTTATACCATTTTGTAATTTTCGCAAATTTTAATTAACAGAAAATTGATTACTTATGATCGCTGAATGAACGTGTATTCGCCCAGCCTATCGCCAAATGTAAGTCTGTGGCGAGATACAACTGCTCAGCACGAAGATGTATTTTCTTTCATCGTTGCCATTGCCACTGTAGTAAATAACTATCCGCGTGCTTAGTAATTTACAATGTTGGGCGGTTGTTGTACGTCGCCATGCGCTTACATTTAGCGGTAGACAGAATGGATTAATGGCGACTGTCAGGCCATCCCCGCTCCCCGCGGCACGCGCGCCACGATCCGATCGGTGCAGTGGACCATATGAACATTCGGCAGCAGAAGGCTGGGCGGACGCGCTTATTCGGCTATCTTTAAACATTAATATATCGTTAACTATTGTGCAAACTCCAAAATGGTACAAAACTTTTCGACTCAGTTCGGTCTACTCTACCTGCTCATAATGGGTGATGCCGAAATTTGCAGACACCCTTTATATGTATACGTATAAATATGTGTATATGCTATGTGTACATACATACTGTGTACATATATACATATATATACACATACACTCGACGAGAAAGAGAGAGAGAGGGGGGAGGGGGAGGGCGAGAGGGGTAGAGAGCAGGGTTGATAGAAATCATGTTTTTTTTAAAAAGAACAAAACATTGTGTTTTTTTTATTCAAAATATGTTTTTAATGTTTTAAACATGTTTTAAACAATATTTAAAAAAAACATGTTTAAAACATGTTTAAAACAGTTTAAAACATGTTTTTTTAAATATTGTTTAAAATATGTTTAATTTTAGTTAAACTACTTATTTAATTTTATTTACATTTTATTTACATTTATTTAATTATTTACATTATTAAAACATCTGATATTTATAGGTTATTCTTATTTTAATTAATTTCAAGATCATCTTAAGATCTTAAGAATGAGATATTTTTCGATTGTGACCGGATTTTCACAGTTTTTAGTGTTTCCAGCGACCCCTTTGTTAATAGTTAAAATGCTTTCGACCGTTTTAATAATCATCGGTGAATTCGGTGATATAATAGTTTATACACAGTAAAGTACGCAATAGACTAGGAATAGAAAAAGCATCAAAGTTGGTATCTATTATGAAAAGTTTAAATTCTAAAAATTCAGAATAAGTCAAAAATAAATATAAACTATTGCCAAATTAGTTTTTAAATCAAGATTTTGGGTTTTTAATTTTATTCAATTTTTGTTTTTATGTAACAGATTAACAGAGAAAGAAAGTATATATATATATATAATATATTAAAAATATATAAATATTTATGATAAGGCCATTACGGTCTAGCGGGGATCTTGGATACTTCTAATATAATTAACGTGTGAATTTATGTACCGACGTTATATATGCATCAAAAATGGTTAGATTGTTTGTCAATTTAACTCGTGATATTACTGCGGTAGTTTTGCGTTGTAAGTCTGAAGGATTTTCGGCACGCATAAAAATCTACATTCGCAGTATATAAATTCACATGTTAATTATATTAGAATTATTAGAAGCATCCAAGTTCCCCGCTAGACCGTAATGGCCTTATCATTAATATTTAGTTTGAAATTCTCATGGTTCAATGTTATTTAATATATATAAATATGTTCATGCTTACATTATATAAAAAAAAAAGTATATTATTATATATAAATGTATAAAGATATTATTAGCCTAAAATTCGTATTTCCTTATTTTCCTTTTAAAAAACACGATTTAAACACTTGTTTTAAACATGTTTAAAATCTGTTCAAAACATATGTTTGTTTAAAACAGTACAGTGTATAAAACATATTTTAAACATTTGTTTTAAATACAAATGTTTTAAACATAACAACCCTGGTAGAGAGGGTGGGGAGGGGGAGGGCGGGAGGAAAGGAGAGAGGCAGGAAAGTAGGTTACATAAAAAGTAAAACACATTTCTTTAAACAGAAAAGGGATAAAAAGACAGAATTATATATAATCTTACATTGCAAAAAGTAGCCATTGTTAGTGGAAAAATCTTTCCTGCAGTGATATAAAAAGGATATTTAGCTCGTATCATTAATAAAATAAGATTCCTTGCCTTACTTGATTCCAATTTGTACCATTCAAGATCGCACATTGCACGATATACAGCATTGCTCTTAATGAACGTGTACGAGAAAATATATTTATATTCATGCCATTTTAATGAGGATTATTTCCAAAAGTATTAGTAATAATTGATTGAAATTTAATTAACTCTTATTTCTTGTTAAAAAAAAGAGTTAGAAACAGAAATATATTATACAACTTAAATGAATTTGCATTCAATTAACTTTTATTCAGAATTGGACGTTTAATATGCAAAAATGTATAATAAAATAAATTATTAATAGTTTTTCCTAATAATGCGATAGCAAATTTGATTATAAACAACATTATAACAATATAAGCAAAAAAATATAGATAAACAGATATATAAAAATTAAATTAAATATTAAATTAAATAAAGCATAAAACATAATAAATTAATTTATATACAACACTACTAATACACATTATACGTATAACTTACTTGCTCTGTCATAAGCTCTCCTGCTCCACAATAGAGAAAAGTATTCATCAATAAGATAACAAGAAGTAATAGTGAGAAATATCCGTGTGCGATATCATCTTTACCTACATTTTCGTCTGTAAAGATCTGAAATATATAAATTATAGGAAAGCACAAAGAAGCATGCCACACCTGTTATAAAATATTTTTTCATATCTACTTTATTGAATCTTACAATAGTAAATAAAAAACCGCTTAGGCAAAATACAATACCAAAATGAAATATCAATGCTAACATCATTACGGAGTACGTATTTTCGATATTGTCGGCAAATCTATAAAAATAAAAAAATTTAAAAGGGTTATTGTATTAAATCAATAAAATACTATATACACATGTGTATATACATATATATGTATATTCAGAAATGTATATACCTTTATCTAAACAGGAATTTAAACATAAAATAAACAGGATATTGTTTTTCAATATTATTTCATATATATCTATTTAAATATTTCTAATAAAAGTGTGCACAAAAATTATGTAATCGTACATAATATGATAACAAGAATATTTTTGACAAATAAGTTTTATAATTGCAAATTTGGAAATAAAACATAATAAAATTTTTAACGAATATGATCACCGAATTGGGAAATAAAGAGAAAATGTACGTCATATCTCATTCTACATATATTAAAAATTAATCGTTATAATAAATATAAATGAATTAATTTGCTTAATAAATATAAATGTAGATAAAAAATTTTAACGTTCAAAGATTAAGACAGATTTGCAAAAAAATATATTGAATAATGCTTCTAAATTAATTACGTTAAACTTATGTCCTATCACAATAAAAATTCATACCTGATAAGACGTAAATGGATTTCTATGATGTTGTTTAAAACTTCATTGTAATTTTTGCATGAAATCAAATCAATTAATCGGCATCTAAAGTTTTCTAACTGGCCACAAATGTGAAGAATTATTAAAATTAGAAAAATATCTACACACATGTAAATGAAACCTCCTAAAAAGGTTGTAAAGCTATGAATGAAAAATGTCAATTCAAATTGCGGACTTTTATCTGTATTGTAAAAATGATACGTCTTCAATGGTAACGGTTTGCTCACATCCGTGAAATTCGTTATTACATATATTACTGGAATGCCAAAACAAGGTGGAATGATTACTGCGAGAACCGCTATTATCATGACAACATATCCAATCATCATAATTAATCGTGCTGTTTGTGCTCGTTTTATCATCACATTTCTTTCTCTATCTTGCTTCAATACTACCCAATCTTCCGCCATCATGTTTACAATTGACAATACAACTTTAAAATATAAATATCTATAGGTAAAACATAAGCATTGCTAAAAGCGCTAAAATAGTGAATTATTCGAACATATGTTGCTATTATAGTGAACCACCGCATCAAAAAAAGAAATTGTACAAATTTTATGATTTATATTCATGTACGTTGATATGTAAGAGTAACATACATAATTACTAGTTTTTTAATATAATCCGTAATATATTTGTAATTACAATTATTTGTCGTAAAACGATTTAATGGAATATAACACTCAGTATTTTATTATATATAATTCTGGACATACCTGTTTGTTTCTGTCGCATGATGATGTATCTCACTGATATTATCAGTTGAGGTAACGTTGTATGTAAATGATCTATTACAAGTACCATATTACCCCAAACTTCTATAACTGCATATATCATCGGAACATTAGAAACAAATATTAATAAAATAAAAATGATGCCGACCCAAATTTCTGGCCACAAACTTTTCTTAGTACATTTGTTAGGTTTAGGCCACAAGCCCAATATTTCAAATCCAAAACGATGTAGATTAACTGCCCACAAGAAATCTAATAATTTTTTACAATATAAGCGATTAGAATAAAATAATTGCAAATTAACTTTTAAATTATTAAATGTTTATACGGAAGTTAACGATAATGACATATCTCAAAGGTATATTTACAATACATAATTATACAAATTTAATCACTATACATATTAAACACGGATAATACTGTAACACATGAAATTAGTACCCTTGTATCCTCGAGATTTCGTAATCTCCATGTCGAAAATTATAACATGAAGATCTTGTTCCTCCAACGCTATGATACAGAATGATCATTACGCATGCTCTTCATGTAAATGCGGATTGCACGACACTAAATATTAAGAATGTTATTGGTATTATAGCTACTGATATTGCGAGAGAATTTTATAAACGTTTTGGTTACAAAAAGCATTTATGTCTGGTCTAATAAAATATGAGACAAAAAGAAAAGATATTTTATAACATCGTAAGTTCGCTTGAAAAGTTATTTTCATCTTGCATATCGCTCCATTATGTATGCATCTACTGCGAAACGAGAAATAACACTATTGCATTTTTAATATGACTTTCTACAGTCACTAAAATTCTACTAAAGAAAAGAAATAATATGAAATTGCATTATGTGTATCTTCAAATGTCTTTTTCGAGGACATATCGATTGTTACATGAAACGTGAGGGATTGTAATATTATTTAGACTATAAGTATATTATAATTCATACTTCACAAATGTATTTCTAGTGATGACATTTCGGTGCCTCAAACTGTAATTTTATTACGTATGTCGTTGCTAGATCAATGATCTAGCAACATTCTTGCAATGAGGTAACCAATTTGTTCTGACATTTTTCTGTTCACCGAAGGTAAGATAGCCGATCAATTCTTTTCTTAGAATTGAAGTAAGTGATAATAAAATTGACATGGATGCACATAGTTACATTCATCTACTACGTTGATTTGATAAAACACGCATAGCACTAAAAATTGATGAAACATTATCATTATACATAATCTAAAAAAAAACGAGTATTAAAGAGAAATTTATTTTATAATTTTGTACTTCAAATTCCTAGTATTATTTATAATAAACAACAATTACATAATAGGCGAAACATAAGTTTATTTTTTAAATATAATAACAAATTTCTAGGTATTTTCTAGGTAGAAAATTCTTCACTCGTAACTATGTAAATTGTAATCACAAATCTATTTTTACACTTATGTAATATGGTGAATATTAATATATCATCTTCAGGCATGTTTTGTCAACAGGAATGATATGTAGCCGAGCGATGATTTTAATATCTAAAATTAATTATATTATTGTTATTTCCTGATATCTAAATATATGTGCTAATATCGACTTTGTGTACGAGTATATATAAAAATCAAGGTACTGATTAACTATGATGATTTTAATTTATATTATTATAAATTTGTATTGTTACGTTTTTTTTAATTTAATCTTATAAATGTGTGATAATCATTACGTGAATTGTTATTTTATGTTATAATAACATTTGCAGTTATAATCTGTAACCTGGCTGTATATATACATGTATATGTAAAAATATGTGTATATGCGTATATATTGTATACAGTGTGATTCAGACCATTCGGAGGAACCGGCACGTATGCATTCCTCATGAAAAAGTGAGTCGAAAATGTCAATAACAAAATGTTGTGGGGTCAAAGTTTTTAAATGGTGAGCCTTTGAAACCTTCCAATCACAAGACATGAAGTCGCGCCGTCAGGTGCGGCGCAACCAAGCGCCGGCTGTGCGAGCGCTTTGATGGATACCGCTAAATCGCATGATGCCGAATGAGTATTGCAAAAGTTTTGAAAGCTTTATTAACATCTACTGCTGTATGTTTAAATTGAGTCCAATTTAATTGACGAGAAGTTGCAATTGCAAATTCGATTATCATCATTTATATCAATAAAAGAGTATGTACTTTTCAAATATTTTAAATAATAAACAAATTAATGAATAAAATCAATATTAATTAAATTATTTAAATAAATAATATTAAAAACATCAGTCGACAAACATTTCCAAAATTGGTTTACAAAAAGTTCTTTTATAAAATTGTTGTAAACAATATTAAAGAAAATGTACATTTGAAAATTCGCATTCGATATAAATAACTGTTTCATATTTGAGGAATGAAATGAACGAAATTCCGAATTACAATGTGAGAGGAAAGGGAAGTATTACAGTGAAGGAATCGAAGTAAGCAAATAATAAGCTGTTGTATAAAAAATTATATTTTTAATAATGTTTTAAACACACATTTTTATAGGAAGTGTTCGAAATGGCCACCTATTTGAACACAAAGTTGAGCACGTGAAAAAACTCTAACAAAACTCTCTCTCGATTGTTGTATCATTTCAGGCGTGACAGTTGCAAACGCTTCATGAATATGATCATCCAATTCTTGAAGAATATAATGAGAGAAGAGTATCATGAGAGAACAGTATAATAAGAGTATAATAAGAGAAGAGTATATTAATATCATTTAATTAAATAATTTAAACAATATTGATTTTATTCATTAATTTGTTTATTATTTAAAATGTATGAAAAATACATACTTTTTTACAGATATAAATGACGTTTGCTCATAATCGAATTTACAATTGCGACATTACTTCTCGTCAATTAAATTAGACTCAATTTAAATTAGACTAATTACATACAGCAGTAGATGTTAATAAAGCTTTCAAAATTTTTGCAATACTCATTCGGCATTGTGCGATTTAGCGATATCCATCAAAGCGCTCGTACAGCCGGCGCTTGGTTGCGACGCACCTGAAGGCGCGAACTTCACATCTTGAGTGATTGGAAGGTTTCGAAGGTTCACCATTTAAAAACTATTGACCCCACAACATTTTGTTATTAACATTTTCGACTCGGTTTTACATGAGGAATACGTATGTGCCGGCTCCTCCGGATGATTTGAATCACACACACACACACGCACGCGCGCGCGCGCGACGAGAAAGGGAGGAAGAGGATGAGAGAGAGAGGGTGAGAGAGAGGGGGGATAGAGAGGGGGGAAGGTAGGAGGGAGGAGAGAGGGGCAGAGGTTACACAGAAAGTAAAACAGTAATTTCATTAAACAGAAAAAGGATAAAACAATAGAATTAGAAATAATCTTACATTGCAAAAAGTAGCCATTGTTAGTGGAAAAATCTTTCCTGCAGTGATACACAATGGATATTTGGCTCGTATCATTAACAAAATAAGATTTCTTGCCTTACTTGGTTCCAATTTGTACCATTCAAGATCGCACATTGCACGATATACAGCATTGCTCTTAATGAACGTGTACGAGAAAATATATTTATATTCATGCCATTTTAATGAGGATTATTTCCAAAAGTATTAGTAATAATTGATTGAAATTTAATTAACTCTCATTTCTTGTTAAAAAAAAGAGTTTTAAACAGAAAGATATTATACAACTTGAATGAATTTGCATTCTATTAACTTTTATTCAGAATTGGACGTTTAATATGCATAAATGTATAAGAAAATAAATTATTAATAGTTTTTCCTAATAATGCGATAGCAAATTTGATTATAAACAACATTATAACAATATAAGCAAAAAAATATAGATAAACAGATATATAAAAATTAAATTAAATAAAGTATAAAATATAATAAACTTATTTATATACAACACTACTAATACACATTATACGTATAACTTACTTGCTCTGTCATAAGCTCTCCTGCTCCACAAAATAGAAAAGTAGTCATCAATAAGATAACAAGAAACATAAGTAAGAAATATCCTTTCGCGATATCAGCTTTACCTACATTTTCATCTGTAAAGATCTGAAATATATAAATTATAGGAGAGCACAACGAAGCATACTACGCCTGTTATAAAATATTTTCTCATATTTATTTTATTGAATCTTACAATAGTAAATGAAAAACCGTTTAAGCAAAATACAACACCAAAATGAAATATCAATGCTAACATCATTACACAATATGTATTTTCGATATTGTCGGCAAATCTATAAAAATAAAAAGATTTAAAAGGGTTATTGTATTAAATCAATAAAACATTATATATACGTATATGTATATACATGTATATGTACATTCAGAAATGTATATACCTTTATCTAAACAGGAATTTAAACATAAAAAATAAATAGGTTATCCTTTATTCAATATTATTTGATATATATCTAATTAAATGTTTCTAATAAAAGTGCACAAAAATGGTGTAATTGTTACTTTATATGCTAATAAGAATATTTTTTACAAACAAGTTTTATAACTGCAAATTTGGAAACAAAACGTAATAAAGTTTTTAATGAATATGATCACCGAATTGGGAAATAAAGAGAAAATGTACGTCATATCTCATTCCACATATATTAAAAATTAATCGTCATAATAAATATAAATGAATTAATTCGCCTAATAAATATAAATGTAGATAAAAAATTTTAACGTTCAAAGATTAAGACAGATTTGCAAAAAAATATTTTGAATAATGCTTCTAAATTAATTACGTTAAACTTATGTCCTATCACAATAAAAATTCATACCTGATAAGACGTAAATGGGTTTCTATGATGTTGTTTAAAACTTCATTGTAATTTTTGCATGAAATCAAATCAATTAATCGGCATCTAAAGTTTTCTAACTGGCCACAAATGTGAAGAATTATTAAAATTAGAAAAATATCTATACACATGTAAATGGAACCTACTAATAAGGTCGTAAAGCTATGAATGAAAAATGTCAATTCAAATTGCGGACTCTTATCTGCATTATAAAAATGATACGTCTTCAACGGTAACAGTTTGCTCACACCCGTGAAATTCGTTAACACATATACTACTGGAAAGCCAAAACAAGGTGGAATGATTATTGCAAGAACCGTTATTACTATGAAAACATATCCAATCATCATAATTAATCGTGCTGTTTGTGCTCGTTTTATCATCACATTTCTTTCTTTATCTTGCTTCAATGCTATCCAATCTTCCGCCATCATGTTTACAATTGACAGTAGAACTTAAAAATATAAATATCTTTAGGTAAAACATAAGTATTGCTAAAGGCGCTAAAATAGTGAATTATTCGAAAATATGTTGCTATTAGTGAACCACAACATCAAAAAAAAAATTATACATATTTTATGATTTATTTTCATGTATGTCGGTATGTATTATAAGAGTAAATCATACACAATTCTTTATTA